CATTCGGTGCGAATAGCGTTTAAAATTGTACCGATTTTAATGGTCGGGAACATCAAAGAAACCGTATATTGGTTGATTGATGAAAATGACAAAAACTGCTTTTGTTTGCGCCTTTATGAATAATAAATTTTGACGAATATTAAAAAGAAGAAAAAAATGGTTCGCTCGATGATCGCATAAAAAATTAATCGCAACTCATCAAATTGCTATCGATGTGTGGGTGAGCGGGCTCATCATTCCCCGATTTAATATCATTTCCACAAGCTAAAAGTGATACTAATAAATTTGGTGCCATTTAATATGACACTGCTTTGTCAGTGTTTGTTGTGCAGCAATAATTTTCATCTATGTCTCTCTATGCGCGTTACTTAAATTTTAACGAAAAAAATACTTTCGGTGTATATTGTTTTATTGTCAAAGCTACCTCCCCAAATATGTGGACAAAAACCACTCAGTTTGTGGGGTTTTTTGTGGTGAAAAACACTCAGCATTAAAATAATGTTCATCCACTTTTCGATTTCATGATATTTTACTTTGTGCATAAAAACATTATTTTTAACGTGCGAGCTAGAAAATGGCGAACACAATCTCATTATATATTGTCTTTTATGTTGCAATGTTTTTATTATTACCGCTGTATAGACACACTGTGTATGAAGAGGGGTGGAAGAAAACGCAGCAATATTTTGCAACGGTGCATTTATACGCATACATGGAGCGATTCTGGAAATAAAAAGACGTGAAATGGGTTGTCATTTTATTTCGTGTTTCGTCGCATCAAATGTCAATCATACTCATTTGTTTCGACGATAAAATGGGTGGAGATGATATCGAGCATATAAAATAGCAGTGAGTTTTGCGTTTTACATGTCGATTACACCATGCTTATGTATCATATGAAAATGATAAAATATATTCCATTAAATAAATTGTTATCACTATGTGTACGAGCATAGATTTGGATTTTATTTTGAAAGCGCAGCCCATTTATGGTTGTTACATTCAGCATGCTGATAACATACATACAATCGAAACAATCAACGTTCAAGTGGCAGAGAGTTAAAATGTTCGTGACAAATTCAACGAAAAATCACAATAAACTTTGATAAAAACTTAAATAAACATGTTTTGACTTTTGCTCTTGATTTTTTTTCTCGCTCAGTCACTCTCCTAAGGAGAGTCTCCTTGCTTTTTTGCATTCTTTCTCTTTCTCTCGTTCTCTCTCTTAGAGAAAGAGACTCTCTCCTTTTGTATCGGGCAGAATATTTATGTTTATTTTTGAAGATGTTTCAGTTATGATTGGAAATGTCTAGACGCAAAATTTTCGCTTGATGAGCTTTATCATATTATGTGTTTGGCCAATCGTAAACTCTTCAATGAATTGCGCCCAAATCAAAGATGTTCAATGTTGCACAGAAGAAAGCTCATCTTCATATGGAAAATTTCAACTCATTTATGAAAATGAGACGCAAAAACGCATATACAAATTATTAAAAAACCGTCTTAAATACGATGATTTTGAGAAGAAAAAAAATCAACGCGGATACCGATGAAAGCAATCAAGGCGCGTGTTATTGTATTATTCATAAAGAGAGGGGAACGAAAATCAGAGTGCGCTAAAAATTAATAAGACGTGTCGAATTCCCTATATATGCATTTATTCTATTCGATTTATTCAAAGAAAAAAATGTTGGTTTTAGGCTACGCTTGACAAACCTCGCATTCTCTTCTTTCTCGATGCCAACCGCATCATTTAAAATACAATTTCACGTTGTTATTTTTTATGCGCATGAAAATCAAATGACTTGATGAGTAGAAGAGTCTTGACTTTGTTGCGGTTGAACGAATAAAGATATAGGAATATAAAATGTGGCGTTAAATGAACGAAATGCAAACTCTTTTTAGCGGCATTGAATTGTTTTCAATTTTCCTTTTTTGTGTGACGATCGTACGTGTTTGTTGCGCAACGTCGGAGATTGAAACATGATGCATGACTGATGCCTTAGAGAGAGAAAAGGTGAAATGTTGCTTGAGCACAATTCAAACGAGTTCTTTTACATAAATTCATCGTACAGGATAATAAGGAAATGAGTTAGACAAGGGAATGAGATTGAAACGTTGACTAATAGTTGATGTTTTTATGAAGGACACATTTAAAGGCAAAATAACACTCATTTCACCGACGGTGAATCACTGTGCGTGTGGTGTGGGTGGGTAGCAAATGAGCGGGATGAAATCTGGTTACATTTTATGACGATCGAGATGAATTTGATGTTGTGAATTTATTTACATAATTTAATGGTATTTCAACAATGTCATATGTGGAACGTGGAATTTTACTCTGTACAGCGCGAGTTTCTTTCGTCATCTACACATTCATCGGTGTTTGCTAAACCTTTTTTAAGGGGTTGATTATAACTTGTAACTCCATCTTTCACGTTCATCTCGATATTCAGAAAACTCCACCATTTTACATCTGTTTTATACATATATAGATAAATATGCTCGCCCATACGCATATTTCTGCCTTAAAAACCTTAAATATGATGCGGTTTCTAGGTTATTAAAATAAGCAAATCCACCAGTCAACAGCCTACATATTGAATTTTACATACTTATTACTTCGCATTTATGCCGGTGGAAAAAATGATTTGCACTAATTTGATACGCTTTTTTGATCCCTTTCCTTTTCACTCTCTCACCACCAAAATTCCCCATGCATAATTTGATATTAAATGCATGGTTGTAGTCGGATGAGAAAATAAACCAAACCAGATTAAACGGATGCATGAGATAAATCCGCGGTTTTACCTTTTGTGTGCACTAGCTAAAACATGAACGACGACGACGACTACAACGTTGTAATTATGATTATCATGATGATGATTCACATTTTACTTTTCCATTTATAATTTAAAATGTGTGTCGTTTGTGTGCTGGTATCGTGGCATGTGATTAAAGTTCTATGTTTGAATTGTTGTCGGAATTTCTTTGCACATTTTATTTCTTATCTAATTTCACTGTCGTCATCGTAATGGAAAATGTCTGTTGCAGAGAGGATGCAGGAAAATTAAAGATTTTTCATTCAACAAACATACGGTATGGTAGCGTTTTCTCCTTGTTTATTTTTCCATCATAAAGATACACACACCATCAGTTCATCCACAGACGGATGCGACATAGAAAGTAAATCCATATGTCAAATGTGAAAACAATAGCGCATAAATAAATAATTGCATAAAGTTGAGTGAATGAAGAAACTGATGTGGAAATAAATGTGTGCCAAGAAAATCCAAAGGTATTCAAGGATACCGCATTTTATTTCGCACATATATGCTGAAGTTTGGTTTGAAATTCAATTTTCAATTTGAATTTCAAACAAACGACAAAAAAGAATTGCATTCAAGAAGTTAATGACATTTCTTTTAGATGGCAATACAGAATATAATCCGTGTAATTATACTATTTACGCGAGTCTAAAGCTGTAATTAAATCCAACCGACTCCACTTCATGTTGCACCGATATTCAATCGCACACACACATACGTTCGTAATTAATTCTACGAGTGAAAAAAAGTAGCCCATTACAGCAAAAACAAAAAAGCCAGCATAATAAATGGCTCGATTTCATTCCAGTCAACAGAAAAATGTCGTTTAATTTGCTCGAAACAACAGCATAAAAGAGTGGTATTTATTTTCTCGAATACAGTTGCACTCTTTTTTTTTCAAATGGAACAAATAAAAAATGTGTCATTTAAAACCATGCTTGGAAATGTTCGACAGAAACGAGTGCGGAATTTACCATTAATTTACTGAAATTCATCGAGACTACAATTTAATGCAAAAATACAAATTGAAGGCTTTGCGCTCTCTCTCTCTTGCACAATTCGTCAAATGCCGTTGTGAGCACACACCGACGATAAATTGAACACTGATTACCACTGCATTGTTGGGTGCGAGCGTTTTTCCATTCTCGCTTTAAATGATAGTTTTGAAGCAATTTCTACAGTATTGGTGGCTGCTAACAAACAACGAAAACCATTTTTTCCTCTGCATTTTACAAAGTAAATTTTCCGTGATGATGCATCAAATTGATCTCATTTTTCTCTCTCTATTTTACAGGTTTGATGTGCTTGTCAATGGAGGCGGAGCCGTGACATTGCAATTCCAACGTTCACCATTCCATCCAATGACCCGAACAGTGTTTGTACCATGGAATCAGGTAAATAGCAATTGCAAATGCAAATTTTTCGCTCTGTAATTATCGGATTGAATTTCTTATTATTTCCCGTCATTTTTCAACACAGATTGTCGTATTGCCACCCATTCAAATGCAATTGAACGAAGACGAAGAGCAGAGCCGACTATCTGTCAAGTTAGTATTGGGTTTTTTTTCTCGTCACTTTCTCAAACCAAGAGAGGGTGTCAATATTTACATCACACTTGACATTTGCTCAATGTTATTGGATTATTTGACATTTTAAAACATAAACACATTTTAGACATATTACTTGAATATCAAAACTAATATTTCAATCAATGTCTTTATTAAATCGTGAACAGAGTGGCTCCACCGAATCCAGCGTACAGTTTCTTGAATACCATTCGATATGGTTTTGATGATGCAGCACAAACCGATGCCATGCTGTGCATGGACCATGATCATGAGCTCTTGAAACCACAAGTGATTAGCACATGGATGCCTTCTGGTGTTGGCTCAAAACCCGGCAAACGGACAATCTTTGCTGAAACACAGGTTTGTTATATACATTTACTTTATTACAAATGGCGATAATTCAATTTGACACTGTCTCACCAAACAAAATGCAGTGTAGCGCACACTCACACACTCAAACATTCGTTCGTTCTCATTGATTTATGCATTTACTGTAAATTATTGAAATTGCAGTTGCAAATGCAATGAGGAAAAACCGCAAACCTATTGATTTTGTCCGGTGTAAAATCATGCATTTTCAATCGATCAAAGTAAATACCCAAAAACACCAACAGTGAGAGAGAGATGATTAATGAACATAAGTGAATTGTCAGGCAAGTGCAAAATTTACACAACGTTCTTATTGTATGGAAAACAATGGAAAACACGAAATAGGAAGCTGAGCAGAACAGAGCAGAGGGTCCAAATTGATTTTGCTCTTAATTTGAATTCAAATTACAACAATTACCATTTCGTTGAACAAATTTTGGGTTTATTTATTGCATGTTATCGCTCACAGAGATGTACACATATTCAAGAAATGGCTCAATAGATTTCTGCGTATGAATTGTTCGACACAACGTATACGGAATACAAATATTTGAACAAAATTGCCTAACAAGCCATTAACAAAACCACTTCTTATCGCACTAGATGCTCTGCATATTTTCACTCTTTCTCTTGCTCCTGCTCTACCTACGTCTATCTCCCAATTTTCATAAAACAAACCAAGAAACGACGTCGATGGCTTATTCGGATTCGGCAACGGCAATATCGATAAATGAAACTGAATTTCCAATTGTATTGACGTTTGGTTTTCGTTTAGATAGCAAAATGTTTTTGTGTAAATATACATTGGTATGTGTGTAAATGTCGGTTGTATGCCGATCAACGTTTTAGTATTATCCCATCGTACAAAATAAACCAATTTTGTACATTTATCAAATATCGAATATTTGAAATATGCGAACATTCAATTGTGGAATAGACAAATTTACACATACAAAATCGTAGAAAATTCAAACCATAAATTTCATCAATCTATCGACATTTTTACTCATACACAATGAGTCGTTGGTGTGTTGTGAAGCGCTATTACATATGCTTTTACCCAAATTAGCACATTTTAAGCAAATTATGCTTCTTTTTTTATTTCAGATCGTTCAAGAGACTATTCAAATTCCCGGTTCTGAGTTACATTTAACGTACCAATCATCGCAAGCGTCTGGTTACTTGAGTTTAGTTCGTATGCGTTTAACAAAGGAAAAAATCCCGAAAACATTAACACATGTACATGTTGGCGTCGAAATTGAAGGTTCATTACACGTTAAAACTTATGAAGCTGATCCAAATCTATCGCATACGTTTGCATGGAACAAACGAAATGTGTACAAACAAAAGGTGTATGGCATATCGATAGCTCACATTTCAGTTGGTTACCAATATTCGACGTGTGCCGAACCAGTTTGGGAAACACAAACGGCAAAATTACAAGGATTCGATGTTGATATATCCGATATTGGTGGCTGGGGTTTGGACATACATCATCATTATAATTTCCATGAAGGAATTTTACAAAAAGGAGACGGTTCCACGATGCACTTAAAAGAGTATCCGAGAGTTGTTAAAATAATTATGGGAACTGGTTTACAACGTCCATTGAATTGTCCGGATCATTGTAATGGAGTTTCGAAAGATGCACGACTTTTGACACCAATTGCATTGGCAACGGGTGCCGATGGCAGTTTGTATGTTGGTGACTTTAATCTAGTACGACGCATCACACCGGATGGCAAAGTGTATACGGTGCTTCAATTGAGCGCAACACAAGTTTCATATCAATATTATTTAACTGTTTCACCGGCCGATGGACATTTGTACATTTCCGATCCAGAAAAGCATCAAATATTGCGTGTCGTTGCCGTCGATAAAGTACATGATCCAACATCGAATAGCGATCCAGTCGTTGGTAATGGACAAAGATGTGTTCCAGGTAAGTGAAATAGTCTCTGTTTGATTTACAATTTTAATTGATGTCATTTTGATTGAAACAAACAAGAAGAAACAAAACGAAAAATTTAATTCCATTTTATTTGCGATACACAGGTGATGAGACAAATTGTGGCGACAATGGACCTGCTTTGCAAGCACGTTTATCGCATCCAAAGGGTATTGTGATTGCAGCCGACCGTACAATGTACATTGCAGATGGAACAAATATACGGGCTGTCGATCCAAATGGCATAATTCACACGCTAATCGGACATCACGGTCATAACAACGTTTGGAGCCCGGCACCATGCAAAGGTGCTTTGCTCTCAAGTGAAACACAATTACAATGGCCGACTGGGTTAGCGCTCAGTCCGCTTGACGGTTCATTGCATTTCATCGATGATCGTTTAGTGCTTAAATTAACGGCCGACATGAAAATTAAAGTGGTTGCCGGCACACCGTTACACTGTAATGCAAATGGTGATAATAAAAATCAAACGTCGCAGCAAGTACTTGGAACGGTGCTTGCATTAGCATTCTCACCCAACGGATATTTGTATGTGGCTGACAGTGATTCACGACGAATTAATTCGATTCGAGTGATTGATACAGCCGCCAATATGAAATCATTTGCCGGACGACAAGATTATGGGTAAGTACAACTGATACTATTTCTAAATAAAACAAACACATATACGCTTTGAGTGAAAAGAAGAAAAAACTCACTACAACACTCGTTATGTGCGCACATCTGATGCAGATTTCAAATCGGTTTTTGATAGATTATGTTTAAGCTATTTAGATCTTTTTCATGCAATCATCATCATCATGGCCATTCCGAGCATGTTATTTATGCTATCGACTTGACTGATTAAATAATCAAATCACAATAGGAATCTTGTCACAGCAAATATATTCAAATCGAAATCGGACATTTTCTTCATTTCTGATCACATACCCATAAACAAGAACAAGATTTAATGCGAAATTTATGCATGTACACATACACATAAATTCGAATTTGATTTAAGCATTTGGATCGATTCAAAATGGGCTTCTCAAACAAACAAAAAAAAATATTATTGCAAACCATAACCAACCAGGCAAAGGGTCTTGGTCAACCAACAAAAACGAAACAAAACAATACAAAACATATTCACTCACATTCAATATGTATGCTCAATGAAATGATTTTGCTTTCAAAACTTCTTCGGCGATACAAAAACAGACAGAAAAAAACTGTATATGGAAGAGTAGACCACATCCGTTCGACCCTATTTTAAATGAATAATTATCATTAAATACTAAATGTTTTGTTCGAACTTTTTGAATGTGGCTCATCCTTCGAATAATCACGAGAAAAACAAACGTACAAAACATTCAAAATGGATCGACAAAAGGGGTGCATCGAATAGATTCAGACGTTGATAAGTACATAAATAAACAGTTACAACAATAGCATTTGCGGCATGAGCAGCCGAAGCAGCAGCAGCAGCAGCAGCAAAAATTTATGAAATAGAAACCATAGCCATGTATGCATCAAGGCAATTCGCATATAATTTTCGAACAGCATAAACCACACACGCTCTTCTAATGTTATGAAAACGGATGTTATGTAATCTTCATAAATTATGCACCTCTTTAACCGAATTTTCCTATGCTCAGCGAAACGATTTTATCCACGGTTGGAATAGAAAAAACTATCGGTGGTTTTGTGTGCGCGGGCGGACGGATAAGCGGACTCACGTCGACAACGAAATATATCATAAAGCTAAATCCTCAGTTAAAAACTGTTTTTTTTTCTCTTTTTCTTTCTGTTATTTGCCAGTAAGTAAACTTAGGTTGAAAGAAATGTTTGGCGTGTGAAAGAGACAAAAGAATCGTTAGCAAAGCGAATTATCATAATTTCTCAATAAATTAAGTCAAAAATATCCGTTCACCGCCCTAAAACCAACAAACGAACTGAAAATACACAAAGACTTAAAATACCATTTTCTCTCGTCGTTCATTTTTTTCTCTCTCTTCTCATTCTCTTTCACATTCTTTCGACTTCTTCTTGTGTTGTCTTCACGATTTGTGAGAGAGAAAAAAACCACCACCCGAATGTTGTATTGGCCACAATTTGCATTGGCATTTGCCATTGTGTATTTGTGTGAATGTAAAGAAATACGGGGTTGCGCTCACAAAAATTTATCTACTCGATGAAAAGCTTGAATAAAATTATGGACTTTTCTTTCGACGATGGCAATAATGATGACATAATTAAGAAAAATCTTCAAGCATAATCGTCGCTGTTTTCATTCGCGTCGGCGACGCAATGGTATTCAAATGAATCAACGTTAATTTTAAATTATGCAAAATGGAATTGAGAACAGTTTTTCTCGCATCTTCAGTTCTATTTTATGCAGTAAACGTGCACACACACACGGGCGAACCCTTCCAACCATCAGTGTGTGCAGCCCTATCACCTGCGCTCACTTCATGCAATAAACAATTGGCTCAAGAATATTTTCACAAAACGACGCGAAAAAAAACGATCGTAAAATAAAAAAACTTTATGGCAATGCATCTTGAAATGCAATACGCGAATTGCACACCAAATGAGATAATTTGCAGCAACGAGACGAACGGGTATACGCGGGCCCATAAACACTTTCAGTATATTGTCGCCGTAGTTAGAGTTGTCATCATTTGAAATTCATGAAGATTGCTTTGCATATTTCGGTGTACTTTTGCAAAATATCACTTCTTGCCGAAAAGTACAATAAAAAAAAAACACAAACGACAAAAAAGTGTGTTAATAAGCTAAGGCCGCGCTCTATTTTGGATGGCTTTTCTTTTTGGTTGAACAAATAAGTTGACTAAATATAGTTTCATCAAAAGTTCTTTTCAACTTGGGCTGCATAATTTGCGTTATGTTAATGACTCGAAATTCAACATTGCAGCGGAGATTGTACTACGTGCAAAAAATGTATATATCTCGATTTGAAATCAAATTGGAATCGTATGATTGTGCAAGTGAAATATGTAAGCTCAACGTCGCATATTGAGCTAATAAATTTGAACGAGCCGCTGGTTATTAATAGAGATAAATTCTGCGATAATTTAGTTTAATTCATATGAGTTTCGTTTACAATTTTCCATTTCATTAATTTTTCATTCGATTCAAGTTTAGTGCTTTTGGTTTTTGCATTTCCAATTGGCAGAAAAAAGTGCAGCATCCATTTGAAAATCCTCTCTAACTTTAGTTAACCAAGTTGTGTTGCATAGTTCAATAGTGAAACAAGCTTAGTAATTTAGTAAACGGGTGCGCGGTAGTGAGCTCAATATATGAGTGTATATGTTCGATGCAATATTCATCGGTTGATTTTAATTCTTTGTCTCTCTCTCTCCCTCTCTTTTAAAATTTAGATCATGTGAATGTGCAAATGGAAATGGTACACAATCGACCACAGTGAATCCGACTCGTAATAACGGAAACAATGGAAATACAACACCGGTGATGTTTGGCGGCAGTGGTGGTGGTGCTTCAAATTCAAATGCACCAGCAACATCGTGTTCATGTGGTAATCTAATGAATCCGAGCAACAGCGGTAATGCTAATGCATTTAATATTAATATAAACAATGGCGCTTATAATGATGGTGCAGCAGCAAACAGTGCCGACACACTGCTATCGTCGAATGCAAAATTCCAGGCAATTTCAGCCATAGCCGTTTCACAGGATGGCGTTATAAATGTTGCTGATCAAGGTATGTATGCAACCGTGCAATATGTAAACTCATTTTTTTTATTCGGTCCGAACAAAACAGCACGAAGCCACATGCATATCTCGGATATTTAGTTTTCTTCACCAATTCGGTTCTGTTCAGTCGGTGCATTCAATATTTTTGGTTTTTGCCATGGGATGAATTCATTTATTATGAATTTTATCGAAGCGGATGTGTGTGGCTATGCAAAAACAGTTACTAATGGCCTCGACCGTTTATTCAAAACAGCAACAACTTTAACAAAAAAATCATAAAAAAACAACAACTGCATTTGTGACCACACAAACGCTTGAAAATGTACAACAACAAAATCGCACCACCCTCTGAAACTTCCGACCATTTTTTGATCACAAATATAAAAGTTTTATTGCAAATAGTGCGCCGGAAGCACAAGAGAATAAACCAAAATGTTGCAAACGACAAAACCGATCCTGAATACGTGCATGTGTCTTTGTGTTATGGCGGCTCGTTATCAAAAAATCAATATTTTTTTTTGTCATCACTTTAACGTGTATATTTTTTGTTTTTCTTCTCTTTCTCCATCACCAAACACATTCAAAAAAAATCATCCCACTGAATAGGCTCATTGCATATTCTCGCCCTGCAACATTATCTACCGACGCACGATGAAAATGGCGAATTCCACATTCCATACCCACCGACAAATGAAATTTATGTGTTCAATCGCTACGGTCAACATGTTACAACGAAAGACTTAACCTCAGCGAAAACTCGATACTCGTTCCTCTATTCGAAAAATACGAGCTTCGGTAAATTGTCGACGGTCACCGATAGTTCCGGAAATAAAATCCAATTCTTACGTGATTACAGTAACATTGTTAGTTCAATTGAGAATACACAGGATCATAAATCGGAATTGAAAATATCTGGCATTGGTCTATTGTCGAAGCTCACCGAAAAGGGTAAATCAGAATATGAACTTGATTACGATAGTACATCTGGATTGTTGAATAGTTTATCATGTGGTGCTGAAACGTACATCTATCAATATGATGATTTCGGTCGTGCCATTCGAATGACATTGCCAAGCGGTGAAACCATATCGATTGGATCGAAACTCGGCAAAGACATTGGTTTAACGGTTAAAGTAAGTGGTTCGATACCATCGTTGTTCTCACAATTGCCGGAAACATCGGGTGAAGTGTCGGTTATTGGTGGCATTGATTCGTTGGTTATGAATCGAACCGGACGTGTAACGCGCGCTCGATTCAGTTTGAACAATACATTACGGGCAGTTGCACCGAATGGCGTTGTTGTTGAGGCGGCCGCAATCTCTAGGCATCCATTCTTAGAGTCATCGTTGCCCGTTGAAAGTGAAATGCTACCAATGTGGTCACATCAAATTGTCACAATGGGTGAAAGTTTGACAAATAACATGTACTCCATCTACAGTTTAATTGGTGACTTGAGAAATCCACAACAAACTTTGAACCGTGAAATTTGGGTTAATAATACACGAGCATTTTGCATTCAATACGATCAATTTAGCAGCGTTGAAACATTTTACGATAAAAATCGTCGTCCGATATTCGCAATAACATTCGATCCATCCGGTATGCCGTTATCATATGCACCGGCCAACGGTGGCTATCCATTGAATTTCACCTATGACCGTTTCAATCGCATTGAAGGCTGGAGCTGGGGACCATCCGAACTAAAATATACATACGATCGTCATGGTCTTTTATCGGAAATAACAAGCGCACAAGATGGCATCATTTCGTATGTGTACAACGATTGGAATTTAATATCGGAAATTGGTTTGGCCAGTCAACGAAAATTCGCTATTAACTACGATGAAAATGGCGGCCTGAGACATATTGTATTGCCAAGCGGTACAAAGCATTCATTTAGTATGCAACCATCGATTGGATTCATTCGTGTAACATACACTCCACCCGGCAGTACGAAACCATATCTTCAACATTATACACAGTCTGGTGCATTGTTGCATACAGTATTCCCAGGCGATGGTGCTCACATTGTTTATCGTTACAATGAGGCCGGACAATTATCGCGAATTATTCATGGCGATGGTAAGAGTGAATTTGAGTATAATTCAGTGAGCGGTATGCCAACCACTGTAACACATGTCGAACGTGAATTGGAATATCGATGGGATTTCGAATACACAGGCGGTTTATTGACCGAAGAAAGAATTGACTTTGAAGCAAAATCGGCATTAAGCAATGCTAAATTTACATATGATTACGATACAAATTTCCGTGTGACATCGATTCAAGGCAGAATTGGTGGCCAAAATTTACCAACACAATCGTTTGGCTACAATGTACGAACGGGTAAACCAAGCCAAATTGGACCATTCAAAATAAATACACCGCGACCGAATCAAACGCAAGTAAACGACGGTACGGCCAGTTTTATTCGAACGGTTGATGGTCGTTTTCTTGAGACGCAAATGTCTGTTACGATTCATCGCTTGGAAGTATTTCGTATGGAATTTTCGCATGACATGCATGGTCGCATCTCACAAACTCGAACCTATACACGAAATGTTGGCGTAAATACGTACACAAATGTCAAAAACTATACATGGGATTGTGATGGTCAATTGATTGGCGTCGAAGCACAAGAACCATGGGGTTTCCGGTATGACGATAATGGAAACATGCTATCATTGACATATCGTGGAAATACAATTCCAATGGAATACAATGCACTCGATCGGATTGTGAAATTCGGTGATGGACAGTACAAGTATGATGGCAGAGGTTTGGTGTCGCAAAATGCACGTGAAGAACGTTTCCATTATAATACACAAGGTTTATTGGTTCGAGCTCAGAAACGTGGACGATTTGATATTCATTACTATTATGACCATATGAACCGTTTGATTACGAGAAAAGATAATTACGGTAATGTCACACAGTTCTTCTACAACAACAAAGAACGTTTGCATCAAGTCAGTCAGATATATTCGCCACGCGATGGTAAACTTATGTCATTGGTGTACGATGATAGAGGTCATTTGATTTATGCTCAAGTATTCCGGCACAAGTACTATATTGCAACGGATCAATGCGGTACACCGGTAATGATTTTCAATCAATACGGCGAAGGAATTCGAGAAATTATGCGATCACCGTACGGACACATTGTTTATGACTCCAATCCATATCTTTATTTGCCCATCGATTTTTGTGGCGGCATATTGGATCAGGTAAGAAAAAGACACAATTTTTTAAGTTTTTTTCAACTTTCTTATCGAAAATCGTCTAAAACCATATTTTTCTCTCGAACTCAATAGGTCACAACTCTGGTACATATGCCGAATGGAAAAGTATACGACCCATTGATTGGCCAATGGATGTCACCAAATTGGGAGAATGTTGCCGAACGCATTGGTACACCGACCAAGCTGCATTTGTATCGCTTCAATGGAAATGATCCAATAAATGTTGAACATGACCGTAACTATCCGCAAAATTATCAAACATGGTTGAAATTAATGGGATATCATATCAAAAATTTGATGCCACAATTAGTGAAACCAATGTGGCAACCGCAAAATCTTTGGGGTTCAGTTCAACCGTCAATCGTTAAACCTGAATCGCATTTCATTGCAAAAGATCGAACATCAGTTGAGTCTGGTTTCCTAACACATTTGGCACATCGTCGTTTAACCGATTTCGAAAAATTATCAGCACCGCCACGGTCACTATTGAAAATGGATCTGATGAATGTTGGAACACAAAAAATTGGTGCCGCCTCTGATCCACCATTTGGCAAAGGTATTGTTGTATCACGCACCAAATCCGGCCAAGCCATTGTATCCAGTGTACCGGCAGCGAATGCAATTTATCGTGATGTATATACGTCAGTTTTCAATCGGTCAAGCCTATTGCCATTTATATTTGTTGTACATAATTCCCAACAAGATGCATTCTATTTTGTGAAAGAGGAATCATGGCGTGCGAGTGAAGATCGTCAACAATTGAAACGATTACAGGGACAAGTAAATACAACATTCCATGAAATAGCACGCGAAAATGGTAGTGGCAATAATTATCTGGATGTTAAAATTCACGGTGCACATGCTGTGATTAATTTACGATATGGCACAACCGTTGAGAAAGAGAAACAAAGACTAATGCATCATGCAAAATTGCAAGCGGTACGAAAGGCATGGCATCGTGAAAAGGAAGCACTTCGAGCTGGTCTCACCACAACCACCGATTGGACACAAGCTGAAATCGATGAAATTCTAAAACAAGGCTATGTCAATCAATACGAAGGTGATTACATTCATGATGTTAACATGTATCCAGAATTATCCGAAGATCCATATAATATACGGTTTTCAAAGAAAAAAGCCAATCAAATTCGACGACGACGAAGGCGCTCAACAAACGCGTAGAATTGAAATTCATTTTCGCAACGATATTTTTTTTGCATAGAAGAATAAACCGTCTCTAATTGCGTTAATCATTTGCAAAACGTTAATTGAAAGAAAGAAAAACGTAAACAATTTCTATTAGTGTAATTTCAACTCAATGACGGAGCAACGCCTCATCAAGTCAAAGAGAATCGTATAGGAAAACAAATAAATGAAATTTATTTTAAAGACAAACAAATAATTAATCACAATTGATAATTAAAAAAAAATTATTAACAAGAGAAACTTTTCCGCATGGAAAAAATGAGATATTTAAATCAAGGCAAGAAATGTGACTAATAAGAGGAACATATTTTTAATGGAATGAAAAAAAAATTGAAGAAAACACACTCACACATTAATTACTTAAGTGATTCGAGCTTTTTGAGACTGGCGATACTAGATGTTATACACACACAAATCATACTCCATATTATTGAAATTGTATGTGAGAAAGGGAGGCCATGCTGTGCCGCATTGATGGAGGAAAAAACAAAATACAAAATATGAATCAATAAATATGCAACAAACTTGGAACCAATTTCATGTAATTCGTAAGTGTATGGGTGTAAAAAAAATGAAGAAATAACACATTGTGAATGGAATTATTCGTTATAACTTAAGTCAACTGCCAATTGGCAGGCACATAAAAGGAAAAACAATTTTAAATGGATGAAACAAGGAATCGAAGGAAGAAACTATGAATGTGTATTGTAATGAAAAAAAAGAGAAGATATTCAAGATGATGTTAAAATATTGATTGTCGTTTTATGTCCCACATTATATATGAGAGAAACACAAAATACACGCATACAAACAAAAAAAAACATAAGAAAAAAAAATCTGTGTATTAAATGTTGCCAAATGAATATGAATACAAAAAAAAACTATTAAATTTATTCTATTGTATAGATTGTAATGAACGAAGAAAAAAATGAAGAAAGAATGAAGAAACAGCATAATTTAAAAGAATTTTATTCAAAAAGGGTATGAAAAACAATTCGAAAAATTGATTGGAATGCACTGTAACAGATGGAACAAGGCTAGGATTTATTTTATCAAAATTTATGCAGTCTCTTTATAATCAATTCTCATTCAAAGAATTTGAAAATCATTTAAAAAAAATCGAAAAAAAATCTTTGTACATAATACTATTTTAATTTTAAATTAAAATTCAAATATTTATAAAACAAAATTAGAATTTAAAAAGAAGAAAAAAAAAACGATAAAAATTAATCAACACTATGAATTTAGATGTAAATGTGCTGAAATTTGATCCGAAGAAAAAAAAAGCACGCCAATCGTTTAATTCAATGGAAAATGAAGAAATAAATCACATTGTTTCACATATAAATATTGATCGCGTAGTAATCGAGAAAGAAAGGGAAAAAAACATCATAAAAAATTATGGATAAAAAAAATTATAAATTAATCGATTTACTGTACCATACCAACTACGTTTAATGGGCATCAATAAACACAATAATCATTGCGCCATTTGTAAATAGAGAAAAAAAAAATAACAATTTTAAATGTTAATCGTTAAGAAAAATCAAATCCGATCTTTTTTCCTTTAGTTTTATTATTCAACAATTTTTTTTATTTTTTTTTTGACGCGATGAGATATAACAGCACACCCGTTATACTCTCAATTTAAATAAAAAAAAAACTTATTTTATTATTCTGCTCATAGATAAACGCATTTTGTGTTAATTTTATTAAGCTAATCAAACGACAAGAAAAATAAAACTATTCAAAATAATAACGCATCAAAAAAAGAATTGTCATTATTTGTCCTCGTTTTTTATATGTATTAAAACAAAATAAATTATTAAAAATTGATAGAACTGGAACTATATTAATAAACAATATTATAAAAATAATACAAAAAAACAGCGCGTTTTATTTTCAATGAATTTTTTATTTTCCAATTAATTTCATTCTCTAAAAGATCTCAGGGTGAGACTTCAGTCGCTTAGGTAAGTATGGATCGACTAATTCTTTGCGGTGAAAAATCTTTATTCTCTCTTGAGACACATATATAACATAAAATGGCTGTACACATTAAACGTTGAACATAAAACTATTCAAGCGCTGGCTTCCGCCTGGGTTTCTGCTGGGTGTTGACTTTCATGTGTTGCTAATGGTTTGATGATTGATTGATCGGGTAAGTTCACCACCCATCCCGGTTCGAGACCAAAAAATATCTGTCTTGGATCTTTAACCTCACACAACATCTCGTACTGTGGATCGTCTTCAATTTTTGGCAACTGATAACCGTACTTTTGTGCCAAGACCTGCGATAATTCAAACACATTAGTCACTTGAATGAATTAAAAAAAAAATAATATAATTTTACCAATCGTTCATTGCTGATGGCCTCTGGATCGGCTAAATAGCCGCGTGTTTTTGGATCTGTATAGTATTCGATGGCATCTTGTGGTGGTATCATTCGTCTTGGAATCGGTACGCCTTTTTCAAAGAACAATTTTGGATTTTTCATTGCATTTAATGCAGTCATATCAAAATATGCCGTCCGAATGACACCGCCCAGTTTTTCAATGTGCGATATTACCAATTCGCTTGCATGTTGAACTTCAATATTAACTTTTGCTTTGAAGCATTCAATGCCATCGTCTTTCAATGCAAATCCGTATTGTCGACTATGCGGCTGTAAATTGAACAAACCAGTATTTGCAATTTGAACCAAATCAATCGGCTTTGTAGTGTCTAAACGATCGGTGTCTATCATCATTTGTAATTGGTCCATTGGAATGGGGATATATTCACGTCTTAAACTGCAGAAAAAAACACAAATACATTAAGGTTCGGATTTGATGCAAATACAGAGAAATCTTATTGAACTTACTGATGATTTTTGTAGTAGTGTTCATTCGGAAAACGCCGATAAAATGGAAAATTACCCGTTTCATATCCAAGTCGCATGAAATTTTGTCGTTGACCCGATCCTTTATTACCAGCACCGTGCTTGTCACCGCCGTGTTGTGCTCGTCCTCTTTGTGGTCCCCTATGTGCACCCGGATTATCGCGAATATTTGCAAGCGATACTCTTGGTAAACCGCGTAATATGTTCAACGCTTTTTCCGTATGTTTTATGTATGACATGATTTTTTAATATCTATACTTCTCTTTACACAAATAAATGATGTTTTCTTTTGATTTTATACAAATCAAACATAACCTCAATCATTGAAATGTCAAGTAAATAGAATGTGTGCGATGCCAACGCTGTCTACTGTGAAACATATGAAACTAATTCGTTTGTTTGATGTCAACGGATTCTTTTCTTCATGCAATGAAAATTGAAAGAATACAAAACTATACCGAATACAATGAAATTTAATTTTTAAAATAGTCTGTTCATTCACGCTTACAAGAGATCGATATATCAATTCAATGAAATTTCTTATGCTTATACAAAATTGTTTGAATGAATTACACTTAAAAATAAAACTCTACATTTATGTCAATAAATGTGATATGCGAATGCTCAGTCAATGTTGTTGTCGAGTATTTTCTTGTTGTTAAAAAAAAATCGTTCGATACAAATGATAGCTGTATTTTCATTAAATCTAGTGCAAACATTCCATTTGAATTAATTTCTCCTTAATTTGGTTCCCAATTTGGGTTCTGATAAATTTTTTGGCGCAGCTTTTCGTTGTGATCGTCCGTTGGTTTGTGTATTTTCGTCGATAATTTTATCCATTTTATGCACTTTGGCACTGGGTTTCTTTCGTTTTGTTTCATCACTTCCATTCATTCGCTCTTGAATTACACGAAGCGGTGATGCGGGTTTCATTGGTGGAATAGATACTGGTCGACGTGATGTTACATGAAGCACATTTTTCTCTGGACTGGATGTAAAACTTCTTGACTCATTCAGTTGTTGGCTCAGTTCATGCATTTGGTGGCTCAGTTGGAGTTGAATACTTTCTTCCGTTAAATCGGCCAGTCGTGTTGGTGATACATCCAATCGTTGTCGTCGTTGTACATTGCCATGATTTTTTGGTTGTTCGGTGGAGCCTGTGGAAATCTTTGCTGTGTTTTTTGTTGAATTTATCGTTCCATTTGCAGCTGGTATTAAACCAACGTTTTGCATCAATTCGGTATACTTTCGAGTATTCGTTGATACCAACTCCATAATTTGTGTTCGCCATACATGCAATAGACTGTCTTTTTCGGCTAGATTTTTCTTAAGCTGCGCATTTTCATCGTATACGTCTTGTAACTCACGCTTTTGGTCCAACAAATGCACTTGGACGATATTCAATTCTTTCTTTAGTTCATTCAATGCCACTGCTAATTCAACATTATTTCGCCGATATCGCTCCATCTCTTCAATCATGCTATTGTCTCTACTTTCACTCATTTTGCACTTGGACTTTTTGAATGTGATTGACAAGAACAAATAGAATTTTTTCTTGAAAAATTGAAAATGACGAAGAAATCAATGTGTTGTTGATAATTGTGTACGACTGTTTGCTATAGACATGCATTTTTTTTTTCAAGTGTCACTTTTGAAATTCGAATTAGTCAACAATGATGACAGAAGGGGGCGCTAAGGAGAGAAAATGAACTTTCAAATGAAATACAAAACATATGAATATTCAATTCGATTGATTTTATTTTGTATCTTTTTAAACTCTTTTTTATTTGGTTGTCCCTATTTGATAAAATTATTACTTTTAAAATGACTTTCAGACTTATTTAACGATTAACACGACAATGATATCTTGCAATTTTATTTTTGTTTTGGCAAGAGCCGATGCAAAATTAATACAATAAATTCAAATATAATTTAAATTCCACTATCACGACAATTCTAATTAAATCGAGTGGTGCATAAAGTAAATCAAACTGTTGTTTTTACTTTTTAGTCTTTGCATTGCTTTGAGAACAGTTAGCGCAGAAGTACTACCAATCGCAATTTGGCTCGTTGCAGTTCCTCCCTCAATTGATGTTTCGTTCGAAGCAACCGACATAGCATTTGACGAATGAACGACGATTTCCAATTTGCTTTTCATATGTTTCTTGGCCCCCACTTTTGTGATGACTCTTTATCGCTTTTTGGGCGAGATTTTTGCTTGGGCTCTTTGTTGTCACTATGGATGATGTTATTTTGCATGTTGATTGAAAAAAAAATGATTTTCTTGATGTTTCGGATATTAGATTGGCTTTTTGGCCTATAGAATCAGATAGAATGCTCAGAAAACTAGCCATTCTTTTAGCTTTTATAAATAAAAAGACGATTTTTTTTCTCTATTTACGGTTATATTTATTTTTAACTTTTAGTTTAATTTTTTAATGACTTTTTTTGTACAATGATTTCATTAACATAAGACAACATAAAATATGAAAATCGTGATTTTTTGGTTAAGTTATTAATTATATTGGTTGAGCGGTCGACGAGCGTGGATTCCAAATGGACTGATGTACAAGCTCTTCGGATATCTTCCACCAGATTCGGCGCTACCTTGAATGTTATCGCTTGCATTTTCTTTATTCCATTCATTTCCGTTTTTCGCTTCATGTGCCGTCAGAACGCTTAGTTTTGTGATTGCTTTCTTCGCTGAACTGTTGCCGCTGCCTGCTGGTTGGCTTCGATTTCCATTGATTGACCGTTTCATTGGGCTCTTAAATGGCCATCCTTCAATTATTTCAGCCACTGACAACGTTTTATTGAAGTTATACGGTGAAAATGGTTTTCCAAACATTAGTCGCGGTGATTTTTTATCGAACAATGTTGAATTGGATTCTGATTTTCTTGGTGTTTCCGATATTGGATTGGCTTTTTGGAATATTGGATCATATGGAATACGTAGAAAACTATCGCTGGACATTCTTTTGGCTCTCTTAAGAAGATCGCCTTTACGAGTAACTGGCGCTGTTGGCGTCGAAGTAGCTGATTTTTGCTTTTTCGGTTTGACGTAATCGAATGGTTTTATTTGTTCCGTCGGCTCTACGACACCATCAGTATTTTCTTCATCGGGCAAACGATCGACGACGGCAACAACTTTTGGTCTTTCGATGGACTTTGGCTTTTTCTCCAAATTGACAATCGAAACGTTGGGGTGTGATTTAGTTGGTTTTAGTTTGGATTTTCCCAGCATCCAATTAATTGCATCGGTTACCTACATGCATCAATGGCGTTTTTAGCTTATTAGTTTTTTTACTCTACAAAAATGAAAAATATGGAAAAAATGGCTCAACAAACCTTTCCAACTACAATTTTTACTAATAATAAACTGGAAACCACTCCAAGCGCAACCAAAAAGGGTTGATCTGAATCCATCTTTTAGCCGGAATGATTCGTTTTTTCTTGCACAATGACTTTTGCTTTTTAAGAAGAGACGATACGATGCTGCACAAAAATGTAACTGTTAATGCTATGACGTCACAAATTGTATTGATACGTATTTTCAATGCGGCAAGTAAAATAAACTGAAGTTGTCATCGCATCAATTTCGTTTCGATAGCGAATAAGATGAGATATTTCGTTTTATCGTTTGAATATTTTTTTTTATTGTGTCAAAAATGTTGTATTTTAATAATAATAATAATAATATTTGTGTGTGTAAGACATAAACTTAAGCAGTCCATTTTAAGCAACGAGTATCTTGATGAATGCCCAAACATCGAATACAACAATAACGTGTGCCGCAAACGGTGCATGTATAATTTGATGGAAATCCACATACCGCACAAAAATGCCGTTCGGGTAATATTGATTCGGGCGCTTGTGCACTGCTGTAACACGGTTCGTTGACTTCATCATAGCTAATACGATCGTCTTCCAGCAATTGTAGTAAATTCTTACGATATTTCGCTCGGACAAAATCACCATTTTTACGTTTAGCTTTTCGGCCAACGCGTCCGTTTGTTTGTTCAAGGGTCTCATCGAATTTCGGAATTTTTTTCGACATGACCAAATCTGCGTGTGGATCTTCATGAAAGTTATCTTGTTCCAAAGCGTTGAGCGCCTTACGAACACGACGAATCCGTGACGCTTCATCTAAGACACGCTTCTTGTCCGCTTCCTTCACACGATTCGATTCACGGGCTGCCATTTTTTTATTTTGATAGATTTTCGTTAGTTTTCTTATATACTATTTTATGAAAGCAATTTTTGTTGATATTAATAATGGAAACAAGATTTGTGAATGGGTATTGTGTGTTAGCTAATCGCCTCTTTCGTGTACAGGGAAACTAATGCGATCCATTAAATCGTCGAACTTGTTTTGCAACACTTCTACGATCTCCACCGATATAAACAAATGTGTATCGTCCAAATTGAGCAAAATAAACTTTTTTCCAAACGCTTGTTTTTCATCCAAATGCAGCAAAAATTGTTTCATCGCCGGATCGCTGTCATCAATTTTATAATATGAGAAAAAAAAATACGAGTTAGAACATTTCACACAAGGAACAGACTTTTTTCACTCACCATGTAACCAATACTCCTTTCACTAAGTTAACCATGCTTTCCAAAACCAGAAACTAAAAATTGTTCGATAATTTTGCTCTCGTACACGCAGAAATAATATCAATTTCTTTTTAAATTTTCTTCAATCAGAAATGAGACCTTTTGTTTGTTACAATGCTTTGGTGAAATAATCTGTCACTATTTCGCCGCTTTTATTGGAGATTGAGCGCTGTGTATGGTGTACAGATGTTGAACTAATATCATTCTAACCGTAAAACAATATATTTCAAAGAAAAAAACATTCGTATTCGGTGAAAAAGACATTCGTATTGATAGCTCAAACAATAAAGTTTTTTTTTTTTAATTTATTTTATTTATGAAAAAAAAAAAGAATTTTTCAATGAAAATATGAAAATATTTCATAAAATTGCCATGTATATGATAAATTCAACTAGAAAACCGACAAACTTCAATCAATAATGAGAACGAGCCTTTAAATGACATTTGGAATTGAACCGGTGAACCGCTTCCATTAAGACCGCGTTTCACGTCGAAAACAAGTCAACGTTGTGTCATTCTTTCGGTATATGATTGTTGCAAAGTGCACATCGTAAATATGGCTGAGGTATTGAATTTTTTTGAAAAAAATAATCGCAAATTATCATCATCATCCATCGACCCATTTAAATAATTCCATTTGATTTGAATGCATTGAAATGTGCACATTTTTTAAATAATTTTCTTATTGATGGCAAAAATCCAGAAAAATGAAAAAAATTAAGTTAAAAGACATAGTGTTTTAGAAATGGTTCGATGTTATTTACGTGATTGGTTACACTTATAGGTTATGAATTTTGTGGAAAATGTGATTTATTGAAGTTTGGTGATAATTTGCGACGGAAACAAAATGTTTTGAATGAATTTAACAAGAAACATAAATATTTCATTGGAATTATGTATTTACTTTCGGTGTTTAGGTCGAAGATATTCAAAAGAAGAAGCGTGCTTTCCGTAAGTTCACCTACCGTGGTGTTGACTTGGACCAATTGCTCGACATGCCAAAGTATGTAACTTTTTCGTACTAAAATTCTGTTTTGAATCGGTTAAACTAATATTTTCGTGCATTTTCTTCCATTTTCAGTGATCAATTGGTTGAATTGATGCACAGCCGTGCTCGCAGACGTTTCTCACGTGGATTGAAACGCAAGCCATTGGCTTTGATCAAGAAATTGCGCAAGGCCAAGAAAGAAGCTCCACCACTTGAAAAACCAGCTGTCGTCAAGACTCACCTCCGTAACATGATCGTCGTACCAGAAATGGTTGGATCAATCATCGGTGTCTACAACGGAAAGACTTTCAACCAGGTTAGTTTTTTCAGCCGTGACACACTGAACGGATGATGTTGTCTATGGGAATTGATAAAATGATGATACTAGATGACGAGACTGATTGAGTGTCTCACATGGGCATCGGAAACAAATGTTCATTGTATTTTTCAGTGGATTCTGTTTCTGATTCACTCATTGACACTTAACACGATGATTTGGCAGTCTGATTTTTATTCCCATTGATCGTTGTTTTTGATGCATCGTCCAGCATTTTAACTTGAATGAAGACTAATCGAATTTGATTTTCGTTTTATTTCAACAGGTTGAAATCAAACCAGAAATGATTGGCCACTACCTCGGTGAATTCTCATTGACATACAAACCAGTCAAGCACGGTAGACCCGGTATTGGTGCTACCCACAGTTCACGTTTTATTCCATTGAAATAGGTTCACAAATCAATTGTGTATCGATTTTCGTATTTGTACGTTTTACTTGTACATCAAGAAATGGATTTTTTTTGAATAAAATAACAACTACAAAAATAAAAAAACGAGAAACTATTATTAATCAAATTTGAACAAAAATGTCTTGTGTTTTCCTAGCGGATTGGAAGTTTTTTCTTCTTCTTAGGTTTATTACAGATCGTTCGTACTAAATCATCTATTGTGGATCGAATTGCAATCATCAGATGTAGAAGTCATTTGTGCACAAGGTTAGTTTCCTCTTTACTGTGAAAAATGCAGTGTTAATTGTGGGAATGGATAAAATGATGATACTAGATGACGAGACTGATTGAGTGTCTCACATGGGCATTAGAAACATATTTTCATTGTATATTTCAGTGGATTCTGTTTCTGATTCACCCATTGACTTAACTCGATGATTTGGCAGTCTGATTTTTATTCCCATTTTCCTTTTTTTGATGTGTCGTACATCATTTTGGCTTGAATGAAGACTAATCGATTTTGATTTTCGTTTCATTTCAACAGGTTGAAATCAGAGTAGAGGTGATTGGTCACTACCTGGGTGATTTCTCATTGACTTACACATCAGTGAAATAATCGGATATGGAAGTAATTTGGAAAGTCAACTGTGAATATACATCAAAGTGAATTTGAACAAGGTTAGTTTTTTTAGTGTGAAAAAATGCAGTGTTAAAGTTGGGAATGGATAAATTGATGATACTAGATGACGAGACTGATTGAGTGTCTCACATGGGTATTGGAAACATATTTTCGTTGTATTTTTCAGTGGATTCTGTTTCTGATTCGCCCATTGACACTTAACTCGATGATTTGGCAGTCTGATTTTAATTCCCACTTTCATTATTATTTTTGGTGCATTCATTTCGAATTGAATTAAAAATACTAATCGATTTTGATTTTCATTTTATTTCAACAGGTTGAAATTAAAGCAGAGACTATTGGTCACTATCAATAACACGGAGAATTCACATTCATATGCATATCGCTGACCTGGCATTTGGGAGCTATACAATTCACTTTCATTTGCATTGAAAATAATCTTTTCTGCAAAATCATCAATGAGAAATGTTTTTTTTTTTTAAATAAAAATTGGAAACTTAAACAGATGCCTTATTTTGAACACAAATAAAAAATCGAATAAAATTCAAATAAAAATCGCATACTCATTCTTGCTTTGTGAAATTCGCCAAATGATCACCAAAACACTGACAGTTATAAAGGGCGTAAATGTTGTTTTTCTTGCCAAATTTCTTGAAAAAAAATTCGAAGCACTCACCTGAATAAACCGAACCACCTGTAAATTGTTATATGTACATAAATCGCATAGTTACGTGAATTGGAATAAGTTACTTTTCAAGTCAGTGCTTTAAATAGATTTCACAATTTACTAGAACTTGAGTTTGGTTTTGGATTTTTTTGGATATTGCTTTGATCGTATGTATATATATCATATTTTGAATGTTACACACTTTCACTCGGAAATCTCATAGACTTTAGAGAAGCAAAAAAAATTAAATTTATATTATTATTCAATAACTAATTAATATATTCTTGAGCAAGAATCAACGTACGAACGTTTCGTCCGGGACGAATTGAGATTTTTTTTATTATTACTTTATTTATAAAAGTAATTCACATTATTGCAACGAGAAATTCCTTAGAAAGTGAATTTCAAATTCATTGAATCATTTAAGTTAACATTATTTTATATCCCAGTTAGCTTTATATTACCTTGATCCATAACATTGCATTCAGATGTACACATTTTTTTAAAACAGACGCGTTGACGAGAATGCTTTCGATCATATTTACAAATATCTCCTCTATGGTCTAGTGGCTAGGATATCTCGCTTTCACCGAGAAGGCCCGGGTTCGATTCCCGGTAGGGGAATCATCTTTTTTAAAACTTTTTTCAAATTGTCAAGTCAATTGACTTTGATAGACTAAGATATTTTCAAAAAATCGAATCATTTATTTATATCGTAGTTAATTTCACTTAAGTGATGTGATTACACACACCGGTATAATATGCTATGACGTAAATTCATTTTTTTTAATTTGCTCTCATGCTGAAAATTGCTATTAATCAAATGCTTTCCGCGTTTGACTTTTGATTAGTGAAATTTGATCAACACCATTTTACATTTTATACATGTACCGTGGCCCTTTGGCCAAGGAAGTCCTTCTGGACTTTTTAGAGTTTTTTTTTGCAAAATATCTATTCAAAATAATTGTTTGAAGGAATACTATTTTTTAATAAAACTGACGAAAAAATAATAATTTGAAGAATTAATTAGTACATTCAGATATGATTAACCCGAGTAAGTGATTGCTGATTAATATAGTCAACGAGGCCAAAGAGTTGATCTTCTTGTCTAAGTATGAGACAAGCGTTAACAATTCCTTGCGGATCGGCTGGTAGCACGAACGTTTCTGGTGAGATATAATCCTTTGGTATCTTAATTCCTAATACTGCAATAAGTTCCATGACCGCTGTATTAACTTGATCCTGCACTCACTTTTGTGCTGTTGTCAGAACGTTACAAACTTTAATTCCGTAACTAAAATCAATTTGATCGTCTAAATCGCATTCAAATGATTGATCGCTTGAATCTAAGCCGCTGATGGAATTAGCTTTTTTGTTAATCGTACTGATACCATTGACGACCGCGGCTGGTCCAGCTGGAAAGTTGAATATATCTTCATCGATAACTGTTGCAGTGCATCTTGGGTGGCCTTGGTCAATGCATCGTTTCCTAAAGTCAAACCGCCAAGAGCGGCTGCAAGACTTTTTTCAGTTTCGGTATATGAGTAATATGAATCAAAGGATCTTTTAAAAAAATCGGCGTTTGCTATGCCAATGATTAGACCAATCACAAATAACTTCTCCATTGTTTCGTGTTGTTCAGGTTCTTTTTTCACTTAGCTGACGTTATTGAAATCAACAAAATGAACTTTGATGTATGTGGACATGTGCCAAAATATACTAATGATTTCATTCAATGATCTCACATATTTATTGCTTTTGGGCAAAATACACAATTTTAACCGTGTGACATGCCATCGTGGCTTCGTGACTCTTTAATCAAACTCTATTCAATAGATCACGTTTCACGTGATCGGATCGTAAATATTTTTTGTATTATTATAATAAAAAATTGTATTTTCATAACTCCACTTCCTCTTTTTTTTACAAGATGAAGTTTAAACTAAATTGGTCCAGGATGTACCTTTCAAACGCGGCAACAACCAATGAAATCGATTGAACTTGTGAAAAATAGCGGTAAATACAGGTAAATATGTTCCCACAAATTCAGGAAATTTCAATTGAAGTAAGCAAACATCAGAGAATTCATGGTCCAATTTCATTTCGAATTATCAACATCGAATTATAAAGCAGAAACAAAAACAAACACTTTCTTATCAAATTGTAACGAACTGAAACGTGTAAATACGAAAAATATAATAATAAAATTATAAATCACGTACATGTTTCGTTAGAATGCATTCATATCTTTAATCTGGCAAAAATGCTGTGCACGAAATTAAATTCCTATTCAGTAAAATGAACTTTTACATACCGCAGATGTTAGGTATCGTCATTATTTTTATTCTATTTATAAACAGACTCAGCGATTGCACGAAATTAAGTCATAAAAGCATAAAACACGACGTTCTGCTAAATTTTGTGCAGTCATAAAATAACCAAGGTCTTTGCTGCACCCTTTTTATTTTCTTTGGAGATTTTATCATTTTTTCAGAATTATACGGTTTGCATTGTTTAACCGCAAGTCAAACATCTTATTAATCAAAAGCAGATTGAAGATTTATTTATTTCTTATTAAATTTCTTCAAAGAAAAATTGTCTTAACTTTGGAGTAAGAGTTCACAAAATGTCATTCTCTATTGTATTATAAACTTTTATGATTTAATCAAAAATTGATAATTTTCATCATTTGAGTAGAAACGAAGTTTATAAACGAAGAAAGAATTGATATGAACTCAAAATATTTTCAAGCGATAGTGAATACAGTACGGATTTATTTACGGAAGCTTTAAAAGAATTGAAATTTAGAACTACAGGGGTTGATGTATATTGTTGAATAACATATTTTATTTTACGGTTAAAAATGACTGTTGATGTAAACGAAAATTTGGACGTGATTTTCGCCGAAATTGGCAACTTTGGTGCATTTCAAATCATTACTTTTGTCTTAATTTGCATTCCAAATATAATTTCAGCAGCTTATATTGTGAATTACGTCTTTACAGCGAATAGTTTAGATTATAGGTGAGTTTATTTTTTTTACTTGAACAAATAACGGTGAATTCACAAACGGGAAATTTTGACGGTTTAATTTTAAGTTATGATTGTTATTTTTCAACAGATGCAAAGTGCACGAATGTGATGTGGGTGAAAATAATCGTGAGATAAGCTTTGATCAGCCGTGGCTTAAATATGCAATACCGCAAACGAAAAAGGGTTACGAAAACTGTGCCCGTTATGCACCGATTATTTCATCGGCGACAGATCAATGTAACGCCAACAACTTCAATACTTCGATCAAAATTGCATGCACTGAATTCATTTATACAAGCGACGAAAAGAATGTTCAAACTGAGGTAAATTAAACACTTCAATATGGAGTTGAATAAATGTAATTCAGAAGTTCGCCTTGTTTCTAGTCGAAACTCAATGTGAAATTTTTTGCGCCACCAATGAAATTGGTATTGTCATGCCTTTGCACTTCAAGATGTTTAAGTTTTCAAAACTTAAAACGTTCAATCGATAATATTCATTTTAATTCTATTAGTTTGAGATTCATTGCGATGATAGCTATAAACTGGCCCTAATTGGAACGGCAAGTAGTATTGGCCGTCTAGTGTTTTTGCTAATATCTGGCATACTCTCAGACAAGTAATCCAAAGCCCATCAATTAACAGAGGATTTATTTTTTAACATGATCTTTGAATTTCAGATTCGGAAGGCTTCGTGTTGTTCTAATAAGTATGCTATGTTGCAGTACGTTTGGTTTGATAAAGTCATTTTCTGTCAACTATGCAATGTATATTGTGGTAATTGAAACTTTGTTGGTACTCATAAATTACATCGAATGATCAAGATAATTTTCTCCTTTACATTTTTTAGCTTGAATTTTTTGAAGGATCAGCAAACTCCTCTATATTTAGTTGTTTCTTCGTGCTTGCTATTGAACTATTAAGTTCAAAATTTCGTGTATTGGGCATCGCATTAATTGGAGTCACATATCCACTTGGTAAGAAATGGAACAGGCGAAATCGGGCTTAAAAATTGCTTCAAAAAATATAAACCTTATGAATTTTCCATAGGCGAAATACTTTTAGGAGTCCTTGCGATGTACATTCATGATTTTCGTCATTTGCTTCGTGTTCTTTATGCGCCTGGATTACTTGTGATTCTATATTTTTGGCTGGTGCCGGAAAGCATCCGATGGCTTTTGGTGACTGGTCGTGTCGATCAGGCTATAAAAATTCTCCAGCGAGTTGCCAAAGTGAATAGACGAACATTGAGTGAAAAGTCAATCGAACAGCTCCGCTTGCAATATTCACCGGAAATCAAAATGAATGCCACCAATGATGACAAAACAGTTAATAGTATGTCAATATTTCAACAAACGAAATTGGTACTTGCATCTCGAAAACTTGGACTACGGTTGTTAAATTGTTGTTATCTATGGTTTACGTGCTGTTTTTACTACTATGGAATGAGCCTTATTTCGACGCATATACCAGGCACCAATCGATACGTTGGATTTATCATTGTACAAGCCGTTGAAATTCCGGGTGCAATTTTATCAGTTATTTTGCTCACAAAATGCGGACGCAAGAAATTGTTATTTGGATCAATGGTATTGTCTGGTTTTGTAGTTTTGGTGGCTCCATTTATTCCATTTGAAAAATCAATTATTACGTTGTTACTGTTTATGATTGGCAAATCTGCGAATGCATTCGCGTTCAAAGTGTTATACATATTTACAGGTGACTTTAAATGCAATTCTAATCATACATAGAACGTCGATATTAGGCACACACTTTTTTTCTATTTCAGCCGAGCTTTGGCCAACCAATATACGTGGAACCATAATGAATAGTTGCTCGATGGTTGGCAAAATAGGATCGGTATTTGCAACATTTAATAGCTTCTTGGTGAGTACGGCGAAACTTTTCAAATTTCAAGCAAAAAGCGATAATTTGAACACAATTGTTCTGATTGTATTTTAGATTACAAAAAGTCCATTCGTACCATTTTTACTGTTTGGCGGCACGGCCATTGTTGCGGGTGTTTTAGTTCTTTTGTACCCTGAAACATACGCCAAAAAATTACCAGACACAGTCGAAGAAGTCAAGAATCTCTAATTTTTATTCATTTGTTTCTTTAGTTTAAAATGAATTCCATTTCAAATATTGTTAAAGTCGCGTTTTTATTCAATTAAATGAATTAAATACTTACTTAGCTGTAAAGTAGTAGTATTCCCAAAGATTTATTTTCGTTTTAACTCTTCAAATGCAATCAATAATATTCTTTATTTTCAAGAGTTTTTACTTGGAAGATCGTACTGCTATCACTTTAGCTACATCTGTAGATGATAAAACTCACTCATTGTCATTTCATTGTATTCATTTAAACATTGATTGTGTCCATATGGTACTATGAATAAACAATGGGTCATATTGCTATAATTCGTTTTATCATAAAATTACTGTAATAAACCGTAGACTACTCCTAGAAATGTGTTTTCAAATCGTATAGCTTTAGTAATATAGTCACCGCTCGCTATTTCATTATCAAATGTCTTCGTTATTAAGATTGAGACTTAAATACAGTGGTTTTCAGCTGTTGATCATCAAGTCAGGCGTTCAAGAATGAGCCTCGGGTATGTCAATATAAAATTGCAAATTTGCAAAAAAACTTAACAATTGAAAAATAGATATATCTATTTTAATTTTTGTTTGCAATATTTTGTGTATAGTTGGGAACTTAAAAATATCAAGCGATTTACAAATCTTCATTGTTTATTTATAACATTGTAAGTTTTACAAAAGGCACAAGAAAAATAAGCGTCTACTGTACTTTTGACTCACTGCAATTGATTTTATCATGCAATAAAGTGGCTTAAACCACAAAATAATGGCAATGCATTCATATTTTTAACCATTATCACTACAGATTCCCGCGCCTGCAAAAGATATATAAAGTCAAAATGAAGCAAACACCCTTTTATTTGTGAATTGGTTGTTTTACATTGTGCCCGTGAAATTGAAAAATACTCGAGTCCGTACGATAGTATTCAAAAAGTAAATATTTCATTGTATTTCAGCTTATTTAAATTATTCTTGTATGAGATAATTATTGTTTTTGATTTAATTGGATTAAATTAAAACCATGTAAAAAATATTTCGACATTGGTGTTTGGTGAACCTAAGGAAATTTGACTAGCCTAGACTCGAGTCTTCGGATGAATTCTATGCAAATCATCAGAGCCGACGAAGTTAGTGAACATTAATTATTATTTGCATTTTTTTTGAAACGATTTATATTTTGCATATAATTTCGGCGAAATATTTATTCACGGAATAGCGAGAACGATTCTCAGAATTGAAAAATTTGAAACACATATTGGGAATATTCGGCGAAACTGAATCGCAAAAAGTAACTGTTGATTTACGAGACACTCCAACAAAAACCATCATGGATATCTCTAAGTTTTGACACGTTTAGTTATCTAATGTTGTTAGTTTTTTTTTAATAAATTGCTGTTCATCTTTGGATGCATGTATCTATCTAAAGCAGACACAAAAAACTGGCTTTTACGAACCAGCTTATGACTACTTGGACAGGTCTATTACAATTGGAACTGAGTATAAAAGTTCATTTTTACTTTCACAGTCGAAGGGAGATTATAGTTTTCTTGTTTAGTTATAATATTATTAAATAAAAATGGGACTAAATGTGGACTCTGATAACAATTTGGATGTAGTTTTTTCAGAGATTGGTGAATTCGGTCCTTTTCCGAAAATGGCTGTTGATACAGATTATAGCATGGATGAAATTTTTTCGGAAATTGGTGATGTTGGATTATTTCAATTATTTCTCATTTGCATTGTCAGCGTAATGTACGGATTATATATAGTCAATTACATTTTCACTACGAATTCGATAGAGCACAGGTATTTGAATGAAAACATATAAATCTACAAGCAAAATATGAATTCTCGATTTGTGATAGATGCAAAATTACCGAATGTGATGTGGGAGATAATAATCGTAAGATAAGTTTTGATCAAGCGTGGCTTAAATATGCGATTCCATCAACGAAAAGTGGCTTTGAAAAGTGCGTTCGATATGCTCCCATCAATTCTGTAACATCAAATAAATGTGATGCCAATAGTTTCAATACATCAAGGATAATTGGATGTACGGAATTTATTTATGCAACAGACGAGATGAATGTTCAAACCGAGGTAAAATGGATATATTCTTCTCACATATTCAAACGAAACCGAAACATATTTTATTTTAGTTGAATATCCATTGTGACGATAGCTACAAACTTGCATTGATTGGATCGGCGAATGGAATTGGTCGCGTAATAAGCATGCCATTAACTGGCATCCTCACAGACAAGTAATTTTAAATTCATTTATTGACGAAAATGTGATATGATAAAGTTTCATTTTAGATTTGGAAGGCTACGAGTTGTGGTGATAAGCGTATTATGCTCCAGTATATTTGGCCTACTAAAGTCATTTTCGTTTGATTATGGAACTTATATTGTGGTAAGAATTTATTGTAGGAATTGATTCTCTATGTACAATAATTCTCATCACTATCATCATCTTAATAAATGTTCAGCTCGAATTTTTCGAATCAATAGCAGGCGCCTGCATATTTAATGGTAGTTACGTACTCGTAATGGAATCTATTAATTCAAAATATAGGGCAACGGGTACAACGCTCATTGCCACTTCGTGTGCTCTCGGTGAAATGCTTTTGGGCGTTTTCGCGATGTATATTCATAATTTCCGTTATTTAATTCGTGTAATTTATGCACCTGGACTACTTGTGGTCTTCTACTTTTGGCTGGTGCCGGAAAGTATTAGATGGCTTTTGGTTACTGGCCGAATTGATCGTGCAATCAAAACTCTACAGCGAATTGCCAAAAGAAATGGAAAAACATTGAGTGATCAGAAAATCGATGCATTGTGTTTGCAATATTCCACAGTGAATGCTAAAAACCACAACGCAAAAAGGACCAAGAACACAGTGAAAAATGAAAACGATCCGTCGATGTTTGAACAAATCAAAATAGTTCTTTGCTCACCAAAGCTCGCGTTGCGTTTGTTGAATTGTTGCTACCTATGTTTTACATGTTACTTTGGTTATTTCGGTATGAGCATGATTTCGATTTACATCCCTGGCGTGAATCGCTACATAGGTGGTTATTTATTGAGTTTTTTCCGTACACTTGTTTGTTCTAATTTTAATTTTATGTTTTTCAATAGGTTACATAATTGTCCAAGGTGTAGAAATTTTTGGAGCAATGTTATCAGGAGTTTTCATCAGTAGATTTGGACGAAAGAAACTTTTATTCTATTCACTAACATTGTCTGGGATATCAATTATAACTGCTCCATGGATACCAAAAAATCAATCAATCATCGCGCTGATGTTGTCGGTGATTGGCAAGTCGACAATAACAGTTTCAAATTATGTCTATTACGCATTTGTCTCTGAACTTTGGCCCACTTCTTTGAGAGGAAGCATCATGAATGCATGTTCGACCATTGGAAAAATTGGGGCTGTGCTGGCACCATTAACTGCACTTTTGGTGAGTTGCAGACATTTTTGAGAATGTTTTTTAATTTTGCATTGAAATACGTTCAAAATGTATGCAATTTTATTCTAGATTGATAGAGCCCCATATGCACCATTCATTTTAATGGGCGGCGCTGCTATCCTGGCTGCAATTTTGATTCAATTTTTTCCAGAAACATACGCCAAAAAATTACCAGACACCGTCGAAGAGGCGAAAGATCTCTAATTGCAATTTATATCACAGGGAATTTTTCACTCTTCGAATATAATTTATGTTTTAATAAAGATAAGTATCGATGCCCTCGAATAAGAACAAAAAACTGACGTTTGAAATTATCATATCAAAACAAAACATAACCAGCTATGAGTCAATCACCTTTCTTTTTTATCTACGTTGAAATTATAGGTAATATAGGTCAGAGCATTTTTCTTCTGAATAAATCACTTTGTTTTGGACATTAATTGACTAAATAAAATTGTCTTCATCATCGTGATCTAGTTCTATAAACTTTGATCGTGCGATTCAAATTCGAGTCGATGTCTCTAGTGTTGGATAATAAAACAACTGAATAGTTTGAACTCTATTGAAAGAATGAAATATATTTTTTATTTTTTAAATGACAATAGTATTTCATAGAATACTAGTTTGCAAATACTGAATCATACTTATTTGCAACATCTAGTACTCTCTGCTCTGCAGGTCGATAATCACTTGCGTTGTATATTGACAATGTATTTGAACGCGACTCGATTTAAGAAGTCACGCCAGGTTCCAATTCTTTCATATAATATAAAATATTTGTGTGTTTTTTTCAATTTTTTTTATTTATTATAAATTCTATTAATTATTTTCGTTATTATTATTGCAAAACTTATTCAATTTATACAATTTTGCAATTTTATTTGCAAGAAAAAAATATATGAGAACCTGGCGTGAAAGAGATGGAGCTTCTTAAATCGAGTCGCGTTGAAAGCCGACTGTAAGTGATACTCGCTGCAGGTGCATGTTTTCGCTATTGCTTTTTGAATTATCAATTGAAAACTAATCTGTCATCTGTTCAAAAATGAGTTAAATGATGTGCAAAAATTACTCAAGCTATCAACTTATATCTCTTAAGCTAACAAGGCAAAAGGAAAGAATTTAAAAAATATATAAATTTCATTCAAAAAAATCTAAAAAAAACATACTTTTGTTATTTGCACGAGCTCAAGCAGTACATGTTTGAATGAAACTTCATAAACGCCTAACGTAATGGTATGTGCGCACCGCGTGCCACAAACCAAATGCTATACAATGAGAAAATAGAAATAGCCATACACACACTCCAAAGGATAAATGATAAAGTTACACAGAAACCTATACTAGAGTCATTAGTATATAGTGTATATACACAAGCCAGCTGCTACGACGCAGACATTGTATGGATTCTTACGATACACCGTACAATAATGTAATTTTAACTTTGACATCGATGTTATTGTGTAGGTTTTTGACGTTGGCTGTGCCACTGTGCAAACGGTATAAAATTTCAAAATTCAGTGAAAATGTTCTCATTTGATGATTAGCATGTTACGAGCTTAGAACTAATTTGGTGCAAATTTGTGTGATTATATTTATAGGATAAAAACTATGCGGAAATTTCCATCAAAAACGATTGTAAAAATAGATTAGATTAAAGTAGAATAAACGTTGGAGTATTTTAACGATAAGAAATAGTTTGCTTCTTTTTTCCGTGTATGTTTTTCGAGTTTTTGTGATCAAATTTCATTAAATCAATTTAAAATGGGAATCGATATCGGAGCCGATGACCATTTGGAGAGAGTTTTTCTGGAACTTGGAGACATTGGTTTGTTTCAAATACTTACTCTTCTTCTTATATGCATTCCGTACATGGTGTCCGCATCGCATATGGTCAATTACATATTCGCATCAAACTCGCTTGAGTATAGGTCAGTGTATTTTCAGTTAAATATTATCCCTACATGTTGCGATTGTTGAACGTGTTAATGAAAGTCTTACTTACGAGACACACACGATTTAAGATCGTGCCTTGACTATGTAAATATAAATAAAATTTTATCTTTCGGTAGGTGTAAGGTGCATGGGTGTGATTTGAATGCAAACAATCGTGAGATAAGCTATGATCAACCGTGGCTTAAATACGCCATTCCACAAACAAGCAATGGCTATGAAAAGTGTTTTCGTTATGCACCAATTTTGTCAACAGAAAATTTATGTGATGCCAATAATTTCAACACAACAAAACAGATTGGATGCACGGAATTTGTTTATACAACAGACGAAATAAATGTCCAAACAGAGGTTTTCTAGCAGATGTTATTCCGCAAATACTTTTAATTTTAAACAAATTTTGGTTTTAGTTTAATATCCATTGCGATGATAGTTATAAACTCGCATTGATCGGATCTGTAAACAGTGTTGGCAGGCTTGTGTTTTTACCCATCACCGGATTTCTATCAGACAAGTAATTTCATGTATTTCAGATTGATCATTGCAATCTAAAAAAAAAACTTTTTTAAAAAATACTTTAGATTTGGACGACTACGAGTAGCCGTGTTTAGCGTATTTTGTTGCAGTACATTTGGTTTGATCAAGTCATTTTCGGTGAACTATCCAATGTACATTGTGGTAAGTGACATGCATTCCAAAAGTCTTGAGATTTGATTTCTAATGATATTTGATTTTTAGCTGGAATTTCTTGAAGCATCAGCGGGCGCCTGTATTTTCAATGGACTTTATATACTTGTCATTGAAACGCTCAGTCTAAGACAACGTGCTCTTGGCTCTTCGATGTTAAACGTATCGTTTTCGTTAGGTGAAATAAAAAAAACCTTTTGATTTTTCCATGTGAAATACTTAAATCCGGTTCATTTTAGGTGAAATATTGTTGGGCCTACTGGCAATGTACATTCATAATTTCCGTTATTTGCTTCGTGCTCTTTATACTCCCGGATTATTTGTGATTCTATACTTTTGGCTGGTTCCGGAAAGTATTAGATGGCTCTTAATAAGTGGTCGCGTTGATCGTGCCCTACAAATTCTTAATAGAATCGCCAAAGTAAATCAAAGGACGTTGAACGAAAATTCACTCGAAGCACTACGGTTGGAATATATAACCAAAAGCAATATCAGAAAGAAATTAAATGCAGACTCAAATGAAAACAATTTATCAATGTTTCAACAAATTAAACTGATTTTAAGCAGTCGTAAACTGGGATTACGTTTTTTGAATTGTGGCTTTCTGTGGATTATATGTTTTTTCTGTTACTTCGGCTTGAGTTTGATTTCAACACACATTCCTGGAACGAATCGGTAAGTACACGTACTTTATGGCGCTTTGAAATAGTAATTTATTGATGTATTTAACAGGTACGTAGGCTATATTATTGTGCAGGCGGTTGAAATCCCTGGCGCATTATTGCCAGCCATTTTCCTAAACAAATTTGGACGGAAAAAGCTACTATTTTGTTCATTTGCTTTATCTGGATTATCTGTACTAATATCACCAATTATTCCGAAGGAGCAATCAGTCATGGTTTTGACACTGTTCATGATTGGAAAATCGTCTATAACATTTGCATTAAATGTGGTGTACATCTTTACAGGTAAGTCGATGCTTCATATCATTATCATTGATAGGCTATCAATATGGTTTTTGACATTATAACTCTACCACGGTGTTTCCATTTAAATAGCTGAGCTCTGGCCAACGAATCTGCGCACAATTATCATGAACTCGTGTTCTATGGTCGGAAAGGTGGGAGCCGTGGCCGCACCTCTAACAACACTTCTGATTGTCAATGCTCCAATCGTACCATTCATTCTGTTTGGAGTCTCTGCTGGATGTGCTGCATTTTTAGTGTTACTGTGCCCAGAAACATTTTCAAAAAAACTGCCCGACACGATAGAAGAAGCCAAAGATCTCTAATTTTATGCAATTTTGTTTGTTCTTAAGAATTTTTTGTGACAACTTTAGGTAACAGAAATACAATTATTTTTCAATGCATTTAACTTAATATTTATTTTCATCGCGCTTGAATATGTGCTAAATTCAAGGAGATTTTAATCAATATTTGTATGGCCTGTTTAAAATTTCTTCGTAAAATATTTCAAATTCACAGGCAAAAAAACGCATTGAGATTGAGATGGCAACATTTTATTTTGTCTTAAGTCTAGACTTTTGTAAAAGCGAAAACTCAATTATAGTAATCATAAAGGCTTTCATTCATCAAATAATGACTGCTTATGTTTTTACGATTATAATCATAATTGAATTGTAAACAACAATCATATGTTATTCGAATGTTTTATCTGATTCATATAATTTTGACAATTTACGATTTGATAAAAGTTATTTGGTTTGTAATTGTTATCTGACACAATTAATCCCATTTCCAAAATAAAAAAAACCATAAGGTCTGATGTTATCACAATTTCAAGCATTTGCAGTTAGGCATGAGTACAGTGTATATACAGATTTATTTTTTTAATAATCGTTAAACAGAAAGTGAATAAAGCGGGTTTTCCAGAAAAGAAAGCAAAGTTTTTTTTTTCATTTTTTTTTTTTTGAAATTCAATCGACATAGAAATGGTCAACGATGGAAATGATAATAAAAATGAAAGATTAGACGTGATTTTTGCTGAAGTTGGTGATTTTAGTCGTTTCCAAATAGCAGCATTTCTGCTCATTTGCATTTCTAATATAATTGCAGCGTCGTTTGTTGTGAATTCACGGCCAACAACATATATTATAGGTGGGTAAATTGTTAAAAGTATTTGTGAATGGAGAAATACCATGATAGTTAATCATTTATTCTGGAAAAATTTGACTTCAGTAAGCTCATTAGGTTTTAAATTAAATTTTGTCTACCTTCTTTGAATGGATTTTTTTTTTCTGCATAAATCAGTTCAAGGTCATTAAATCAAATCCTTATTCATTGTAACTGTAATAATCAATTCAAAAAATCGCCAAAGTTACGCAAATTAAAGTTATTCACAAGAATCCAGCTCATTTAAATTTTAACCGATTTTTTTAATGTCGTCTACGAGACGGGATATAAATGGAGTGAAAAAAATTCAAGCCCTGAACTAACCGATGCGTATCATGCGAATCGGTTTGCTCTGTACTGTGTGAACTTGAATATTTGTTTATTTATAGAACATTCGAAATGTGTAACGTTTGTAACGTAAAAGATCTCCAAATAAAAGAGCGATAGAGAATTCTATTGAATATATCGAGAAGAGAGTATGTTATTCAGCGCTTATGGCTGAGTAATGTCTGAATAAAAACATACTCTCCTCTCGATATTTTCAAAAGATATAGTAAATGGGCATCAGTTTGTGTAAGCACTGCGATTCATTCAGATTTGATTCGTTGGCAAGGAAGCACGTTGGACACGCGCTACGAAGAGAAATACGTGCGACGCAAAGTTAAATATTGTGTTTTGTGAAACTGTCAGTACGTTCGTATTAAAAGTCGCGTGAAAATGGGTTTGGAGGATGGTGCTGATTTTACCATCGATAGAATATTTTCCGAAATCGGCGATTTTGGTGTATTTCAAATAGTAACATTCTTTCTAATTTGCATTCCAAACACTATTGCCGCATCATTTGTTTTGAATTATATGTTCGCCTCTACTTCGCTCGAGCATAGGTCAGTGCACTTTAATTGTAATTTTTTGCTTAATTAAAGCTCATTAAGTGAACGGAAAGTTTTAATCGAATGCGATAAAATTCGTAATCAAACTGATTGTAATGTGATCGCGTATAAAATGAAAGTATTTGTTCGATAAACTTAAGCATGTATATTTATGTGAAAGTATTGTCATTTAATCAACGAAAACAATGCCGTTGATAACTTAATTTAGATATAAAATATCTTTAAAGCACCAAAAAAACAACGTATTTGCAATGCACACAAGGACTAATAGTTATTTTCTTTTTTAGGTGTAATGGATTATTGGATCCAATAATCCAATAGGTGTAAAGTACCAGAATGTGATTTGGGTGATAATAATCGTGAGATAAGCTATGATCAACCGTGGCTTCACTACGCCATTCCATCAACGGACAAAGGTTATGAAAACTGCGTTAGATATGCACCAATTAATTTATCAATGTCGAATCAATGTGATGCCAATGGTTTCAATACATCAACACGAATCGGATGTACGGAATTTATTTATGCAACCGACGAGATAAATGTTCAGACAGAGGTAAAATGGATATATTCTTCTCATTAAAATTGCAATATAAAAAAATATTTAAAACCAAATTCCTGTTTTAGTTCAACATCCATTGCGAGGATAGCTATAAGTTGGCCTTGATCGGGTCTGCTAACACGATTGGCCGGTTTATATTTTTGCCAATAACCGGTATACTCTCAGACAAGTAATTTCAAACCAGTTAGTTGACACAATCATGACTCATGAGTATCATTTACAAATCGATCCTTGCCTTTTAGATTCGGGAGGTTGCGTGTGGTATTAATTAGCATGTTATGTTGCAGTGTGTTTGGCTTGATCAAGTCATTTTCCATTGATTATGCAATGTATATTGTGGTAGGTGAGAAAATATTTTATTGTCATTATTTTTCCGTTGTCATTTTAAATATTTTTCTAATTCTTCGTCGAATCAATTTATTTTTCAGCTGGAATTCCTTGAGGGAACAGCAAACACTTGTATATACTGTGGATTTTTCGTGCTTGCTATTGAGTGGGTCAGTTCGCGTTATCGCGCACTTGGCATTGCATTAATCGGTATTTTACCACTGTAGAATATTATTTAACTATTGAGTAAAGTATATGTTGTTCTTTTCTATGTTTTTAGGTACCACATTTTCGTTAGGTAATAATAATAGAAATATTTCGATTTTTCAATGTGAAATACATAAAAAAATCTTCTTTTTTAGGTGAAATGCTGTTGGGTTTTCTGGCCATGTATATTCATAATTTCCGTTATTTGCTTCGTGTACTTTACGCTCCTGGACTACTTGTTGTCTTTTACTTTTGGTTGGTACCGGAAAGTGTTCGATGGCTGCTTATTACCGGCCGAATTGATCGTGCAATCAAAACTCTACAACGAATTGCCAGAGTAAATGGCAAAACATTGAGTGAAAAGTCAATTGAAGTACTGCGGTTGCAATATCCATCGGGTGCGAAGCAAAATAGTCACCTTTCTAATGAAGAGAAAAACGGAGAGAATCTATCGATATTTCAACAAATGAAATTGGTAGTTGCATCGCGAAAACTCGGATTGCGTTTATTAAACTGTGGCTATCTATGGGCCACTTGTTGCTTTTGTTTTTACGGATTGAGTCTGATTTCAACACACATTCCCGGTGCTAACCGCTACTTAAGTTTCATTATTGTTATCGCGGTAGAAATTCCGGGTGCAATTTTGGGAGCCATGTCCACTAACAAATTTGGACGAAAGAATCTCTTATTCTATTCATTGACATTGTCTGGTGTATCAATTTTAATTGCACCATGGATACCAAAGGATAAATCGTTAATTGTACTGATATTGTTCATGCTGGGCAAATCATCAATCACTTTCGCTTTTAAAGTTGTTTACGTTTTTACCGCTGAACTATATCCAACAAACATACGTGGAACGATTATGAATAGCTGCTCAATGATCGGACGTATCGGTGCGGTACTTGCAACATTTAATGGACACTTGGTGTGTTTTATATTACATTTACATGCAGCTTGGATTTCATGTATTCATTTCTTCTTTCTTTCAGATGGCAAAACATCCAATCGTACCATTCTTATTATTTGGAACTAGTGCCATTGTGGGCGCGGTGCTGGTGCTATTGAACCCAGAAACATATGGAAAAAAATTACCAGACACCATCAAAGAAGCAAAAGATCTTTGAATTTATGTACAAAGTACAAAATTATAGTATTCATAGTGCTAAGCAAACTCTAGAAGTAATCAGTGTTTAAAGAAACATATCCTAAATCTTGTGTATATACAAGTTAGAAATTAAAATCATGTAAAAAATATTTCGACATTGGTATTTGGTAAACTTAATGAAATTTGATTAGCCTAGACTCGAGTCTTCGGATGATTTCTATGCAAATCATGTTTATGCGACAAACTTTGATTTTTTTTCTTTGAAAAATATGTGGTCAAAATATGAAATATCTGCTGTGGAAAAATGTGATTGGTATTGTATGATAATAAACAAAAAATGACTTTTTATTTGCATCCGAATTATTAACTATTTGCGTAACACCATCATGGAAATTTTTAAGTTTTAACGCCTTTTATACAGTCAGTACATTGGGCTAAGATATTAGTTCGGGCTATTTTGTAGCACATAAAAATATCACTTATTTGTTGTCAAATAGCTCTATAATCTCCTAAATTCTTGTCCCATTTGTCGATAGGATGCTATTTAGCACAAAATATAAGATATTTTTATGTCCTAAAAAATAGCACGAACAAATATCTTGGCCCAATGTATTCACTGGTTTTATATAGCATTTTTTATAAATAAATTGATGTTTCATCGTTTGACGCAGGTACGTACCTATCGAAAGCAGACACAAAAAACTGATATTCCCGAACCAGTTTGTGACAACTTAGACAAGTCTATTACAATAGGACCTGAGTATAAAAGTTCATTTTTATTGATTAGTGGCAGTCGAATTCCTTCTGTATGCGGAAAAACATATCAAATTCAAAATTAAGAGAGATTGTAGTTTTCTTGTTTAGTTATAATATTAATAAATAAAAATGGGACTAAATGTGGATTCTGATAACAAATTGGATGCAGCTTTTTCGGAGATTGGTGAATTCGGTCTTTTTCAAATTTTTGCAATTTCATTAATTTGTATTCCCAGCATCATTTCCTCATCACATATCGTTAATTTTATGTTCGCAATACAGCCACTAAAACATAGGTGCGAATGTTAAATTTTAACGGATTCTTTTGTGAAGAAGATCGTGTCAACAGCTATAATTCTAATCAATTTTCAGATGCAAAGTGCCGGAATGCGATTTTGGTGACAACAATCGTGAGATAAGTTATAATCAGACATGGCTTGAGTATGCGATTCCACAAACTCAAAATGGATACGAAAACTGTGTTCGATATGAATCGATTCAGTCGTCGGCCAATACATGTGATGTCAATAGCTTCAATACATCAAAACAAATCGAGTGCACAGAATTTATTTACGCAACGGACGAAATAAGTATTCAAACCGAGGTTGGCGATTGTTTTTTTCTCTTAATATTGTGCACAAAATTTTAAAAAGACTTGGTTTTAGTTCAACATTCATTGCGATGATATCTACAAACTTCCTTTGATCGGGTCCATAAACAATATAGGAAGGCTTATTTTTCTACCAATAACCGGCATCCTCAAAGACAAGTATCTTAATGAATCATTATGAACTCATTTTACATCGTTTCAAGAATATATTGAAATTATATTTTCTTATATTTCAGATTCGGTAGACTTCGAATAGTTTTGATAAGCATGTTTCTTTGTAGTTTGCTTGGCTTTATCAAGTCATTTTCATTTAACTATGAAATGTATATTGCTGTAAGTCAAAAAAATATACAAAAATATTCATTTAAGCCCTTCAATCATGACATTTTTCTTTATGTATTTTTCACATTTATTTATTCAGCTCGAATTTTTTGAGGCATCCGCAAACACCTGTGTATTTAGCGGAATTTATTTGCTTGCTATTGAATGGGTCAGCTCAAAATACAGAGCTATTTGTTCAACTTTAGTCATTCTTTCATTACCAATTGGTAAAATAACGTAATAGATAGCTTAAATATTGCTTCAAATAAAACATAAACCTTATGCATTCCATAGGCGAAATAATTTTCGGATTCCTTGCGATGTACATACATAA